CTGCAACCAGCTCAGCGGAATTTCCGAGACAACCAGATAACTACACCGAACTCCTAGAAGTGAAGGGGAGTGTTGAGATAATATCGAGACTTAAGCACTTCAAGGAAATTCGTGTAGTACAGTAAAGTACCGATAGGCTGACGTCAGCAAAGCGCTACGCGCCCTAGGATGACGTCAGCAAGTAGCTATAGGCCTCGCAAAAAGTTACGTACCGTTTCAGAACAAGAATAGCACAGTACAGTAGGCGAACAGGTACTTTACTCTAGCTATATATTTTGTATGTTTGTCATTTTATAATATATCTGATTTCAGAGACATTGATCCTGAAACATATCACTACATGGGCTTTTATTAAAGTCCAGACAAAGCCTTCATAACTGGATTTAAACTCATATAAGACTTCCGCTACGACAGGAAGCTACCATCCTAAGTAGTACGATCCTATGCAATCACTTCAAATTCTAACAGGGACTACCTAGAACCCTGATTAGAAAAGGTGGCCCAAACAGGGCTGATTTTATCAGGGTAATTACCCTGATTTCAGGGTGATTACAGGCTTCTCAACTGCTGGGCCCCTGCAATTTCAGTTTTTTTAACTTGTGAACTCTGATCCAATCAGAAAAGTTACTTAACGAACCCTGAAATCTTATAACTAGACTCAGAGTAGTGTACTTGCGGACTATGTCTATGCAGAGTATGCGTTCGGTGGACCCTGAATGCGAGGGTATCGGGACGAAGGTTCCTCGAAGTTTCCTTTCGATAACCCCCCCCCTGTGCGTAATCATTACTTCGCGTGGCCCCATGTGAGGTACCCCGTTCACGCGCTGGACTGACGTAATAACGACACCGAATTCCAACACCGTGCTGTAAAGACAGCTGTCAACAGTGACAACGCACCCAAATCTATGATACGTTGCTGCCACGCGCACCTCGCAGTGCACAGCATGCCTCTGCCATTCGCCAGAACGGCATGTTGACAGTATGCGCTGGCAGCTAAGCAGTCCTTCAATGAATTCGGCCTTGCATCTACGGCCGAATTCATTGACGAATGTTGCCATGAACCTTGTGGCATCGTGCCGCGGTGGGTTCGTGATGACCCCGCCATCTCCAACCTTCCTTTCCTTCCCCCTACCCAGAGCCAGGCTTCCTTCGCTTCCTGCTTTTTGTTCAGTATCACACTTTCCTCTCGCTCCATCTTTCCCCTAGCTCGCCGCCATGGAGGCCCTGCCGGCCGACGAAGATGCTCCTCAGACTGGCCCTGACGAGCCACCTTTACCGGCAAAACCGACAGCGCAAGCCTTGCCGGAGAAAGCATCAGATGATCCCCGGCCTGGGCTCGATTTTCTTAGAGCTACCGGTGCTCCGGTGACACCAGAACCTCCTAGGTCTACGGTTCATGACTCTGCTGCTAGAGTAACCCCTACTCCTTCTGATTCTCCACATCCTGTCGCCTTCACTCTACCCCCGGCTGTTGCTTCTTGCAGCAAAGATCCCCCACCGCCATCGCCTAGCCCCACTCCAAGCACGGTGCGTGTGTCTGTTGGCCCGCCGTCGGCTTCTTCCACTCCCAAGCAAGCGCGAAATGGGAAGTGGGCGCAGAGTACTCTGGTCGTCGGAGGCCGCCGTATTCCACCGCCTGACAATGACAAGCCGGCAGATCCTCCACCGAAAGAAGCTGAGCAACCGGAGGAAGTTGACATCCCTGTGCGTGCGGATACCGGCTCGCCCGCACTCACCAAGATGCAGCTGCGAGAGCAGGTGTACCTTGAGGCAAGTATTAACTACGAGACGAAGTGGTCGCAACACTTTTCCTGGCTGGTGTTTGGGAAGACCAAGGACGGTTTTCCATACGTGAAGTGCTCCATCTGCATGTCGTACGCGAAGGGGAACACGAGGTACGCCATGCAAGGTGACGACGGTGGCCGTGACTTGCAGACGCAGTCGTTCAGGGCGCACGAGCATACGGACGCACACAAGGCGGCAGTGGATCGGCAGTTGAAGCTTGCGGCGGGCATCCGCGAGGGCCAGCAGGCGATTTTCGACTTCATCAACTCCGACGTCGAGGGGCGGCGCGCGATTCGTCTCATGCGGTCTACGCAGTTCCTGTGCCAGTGCGACGCGCCGATTAGCATGTTTCCGAAGCTGATGCGGCATCTTGCGGAGCAGGACACGCCAGACATTCCTCGACAATCTTACGGCGTGTATCTCACACGGTATTTAATCTTACCGTTAGATTGCAGCTGGACATATGTGACGTGTGGTTTTTTTATTACGATCCTGACCATTTTATTCTCCTCTGTGGAGATACGGGTTCCAACAAATGGTTCACAGCATCAGTACATACCTCACTCGGGTCCAGATGGACCACATCCTGGCATCCCCCTTCCTGGGCATTCAGTGCGACGAGAGCACAGACCGAACGCGAGGGAAACACATGATCGTGTACCTTACGTTTTTGAAGAATTGCCAAATCGCATGCGAGTTCTTTACATTGCTGACGGTTGAGCGGTGTGATGCAGGGTCTCTGTTCGAGGTGCTTCTGAACCATCTCCGCTCCGCAGCCGTCGATGTGTCCAAGATCTTCGGCATCAGCACGGATGGGGCGTCGGTCATGACCGAGAAAGAAAACGGATTGGTGGCGCGTCTTCGGGAACACGTTCCGCACCTGTTTTCATGCCACTGCATCGCCCACCGGTGTGTATCAAGTTTCCTAGTTGGTGTGGTTTTCTACGTATAAGATTAACCAATTACCTCTTGATTTGTATTCCCTGCATCCTACAGTGAGGCGTTGGCTGTGAAGGACGCCGCTGAGTCAAACGAGGACCTTGGCATGGTCGACAAGGTGGTGCGCACAGTGGCGACGCTTCTCGGAAACTCAAGCGTGAGGAGTCAGCGCTTCAAGTACCTTCAGCGAGTGATCTACCAGACAAACCTCGAGGTCCAAGGAATCCACACGGTTCGATGGCTGTCACGAGGTGATGCGGTGCGCAGGCTGTGCAAGGTCCTCGGCGCTTGCATCGTGCTGCTCTGGGAGCACAACCACAAGGCCTACGAGATTGTGACGTGCTACAAGTTCCAGTTCTATTTGTTTTTCCTGGCCGACATTCTGGCCGACATGAACGACCTCAACCGCTGCTTCCAGAGGCGTGAGGTGAGATTGAATGCTAGTATAATGTTGAGATGGGAAGTATAATCCTACACTTTTGCTAATCCTACTCCCTGTTGTTGATTGCATGTGTGACAGCTGGATGTGACTGAGATTTCGAAGACTATTGAGTCCACCACGGGTGACCTGACGGAGCGCTACTTGATGACAAACAAACCGTTCGGGGGCGAGGGGAAGAGCTGGCTGGTAAACTTCCTCAAGGTCCACAAGGAGGGTGGAGGCAAGCAGGTCCGGGTTCGAGGCGTGGACGGAGAGGGACGCCCAATCAACCACCTCTACACCATGCATGAGAGGAAGCTAAAGGGCCACAAGCAGGGAAGCACCTACGCAGACTGCGTGAAGCTGTGCTGCGAATTTGCCCGCGACTGCGTGGACAACCTGAACGAATGGCTGGATGACCTTGGGAAGCTGGGCCCGACGAAGCTGTTCCGGGCGGGGAAGTGGCCGAAGATCAAGGCCCAGCGAGAGAAGAAGTGCAAGGAGTGGCTGCACGGATGCAGCAGGCTCTTCCGCCACAAGCTGTCGGGATTCGACCTCAAAGCAGCAGAGAGGGAGCTCCCGACATTCAGCGCGATCATGGAGTCACACCATGAGATGGAGAGCTTCGCCCAGGGCCTTAACAACTTTCTTGGGAGCGTAGACTCAATGAGGTAGGCCACTGCATGCGTACGAGTTTTTTACCTATTTGATTTTTATGTTGGTGATTATTAACATGTTGAATTCCAACTTGTTGATTTATTAACTTGTTGATATTTTTACATGTTTTGTTGTGTTTCGAATGTGCCTGGCAGGAGATGGCCCAACCTCATCCTGCTGTGGCAGGCGCTGGCTGTGCTTCCCCTCTCCACCGTGGAGTGCGAGAGGGGGTTCTCCAGGCAGAACATCATCAAGTCCTGGGTGCATGGAGCGCTTTGCAACGCGCGTCTGGGGGAGCTGATGCAGATATCGCTCTTGAAGTACGAGATCGAATGGCCGGAGGCACTGGAGGTGTGGAGGTCCATGCGGAGGAGGCGCCCTGTGAAGAGCCTGAAGCTGGCCGTGGCAGAGAGGGAGAGGAAGGGGAAGCAGAAGGAGGGTGAAGCTGTGGCTGCTGGAACTGCGGGGGAGAACGAGGACGAGGGGGAGGAGGAGGAGGAGGAGGATGAAGTGGAACAGGACTTGGGCGACGATCAGGAGGTCGTGGAAGAGGAGGACAACTCTTTCCTGTCAGACGATGAGGACGTAGAGGAGGTGTACTTCATTGACAAACCCGTGCACTAGATAGTGTAGGAAAGTTGAAGTTGTTGTATCAGTCATTTTGAAGTGTAGTGCAATGTTAATCGCAACCCTGATTTTGAGCTGTGAACCCTGACGGATCAGACTAGGACTTTGTTCGACACTGAGCTATCAGGGTAGCTCCCCTGTGAAAAATGTGCGATCATAATAGAGGGGGAAATTTTTTTCGGGAATCAGGGAGGCCTAAAACGAAACGTCAGCCCTGGGCCCAAACTTAATCGAGAGCCCTGGATACAAGGTAGTAGCCTGCAGCCTAACATGTCTAACAAAGATAACAACATAGCTTGACATCCCGAGACAACATGCAAACAATAGTGGTGGATAAACAAAGTTGAATGACGTGTATGGTTAATGTATTCAGTTATGGCAATGCATTCTACCATTCAAACAAAGGATCAATAAATAAAGGTAAACCATAATCCTTGCCAGGAGGGGCTGAAGATAAATATCCAGCAATCCAGTGTGGGTGATGATGACAACACATGTGATCCTGTTTATAGCAGGTCAAGGAAAGCCCCCCCAATTCGTTACTTCTGCCCTCCATTCGCCCGCTGCACCATCACGTTGCTTTGATGTGCCAATGGCTATTGCCGATGCTGTACATATACGGTAATAAAAAGAGGAAGAGGGATGCGGGGAAGGGGGGGAGGTATGGGTGAAGGGAAGGGGGATTGGGGAACGGAAAGGGGGATGTCGGGAAAGGGAAGGCGGACGTGGGGAAGGGAAGGGGGATGGGGGAAGAAAAGAGGGATGCGAGGAAGGGAAAGGGAGATGGGGGAAGCGCAAAGGGGGATGAGGGGAAGGGACGGGGGATGGGGGAAAGGGAAAGGGGGATGCGGGGAAAGGGAAAGGGGGATGCAGAGAAGGGACGGAGGATGGGGGAAAGGGAAAGGGGGATGCGGGGAAATGGAAGAAGGGATGCGAGGAAGGGAATGGGGATGGGGGAAAGGGAAAGGGGATGTGGCGGATGTGCGTTTGCTTCACCTGCCACACCATTATTGAGACATAACCCCTTCACACCCTCAGCATGTACCTTCCTGCCCCCCTCAGCTCTCAATGCATCTCCTCCTGTCCCCTCCCGTGCCGTCCCTTCCTCTCTCGACGCGTACCCTCCCGTCCCTTCCGGTCTCGGCGCGACTCCTCCTGTCCGCTCCCGTCCCGTCGCGTCCCCTCCGTCCCTTCCCGACCCGTCGCGTCCCCTCGCATCCCTTCTAGCCTCGGTGCATCTCCTACCGACCCTTCCCGTCGATCACATTTCCTTGTCCTCGCGCGTTTCGTCCCGTCCCACATCTCCCCGTTTCTTGCCTCCTACTTTCGTCCTAGAACAACCCGTCTCACGGCAACCATTCCCGTCCCCTCCCATGCCCGTCCCGCCTCGTCCCTCCACTTTCGGACCCATCCAATCCCGTCCCTTGTCCACCTATCCTATCCCAACCCTTAATCCGAAACCAACTGAATCCAACCACACCCGCCAGTTTACTCTTGCTTCTGAACTCACAGCCCATCCCGTAAACGTCCAAGTACAGGGCCCTCTCCAACCCGAAAATAAATTAAAACAAATAAAAAATTGATTTGTCCAACAGTTTACTCCAGATCGAGGATTTTCTGAGGCTGTCCCTTCCCGTCGCTTCCTGTGCTCTACGGTTCCTAGCCTTGCAGTCACGCCCCTTCCGTTTCTTCTCAAGAGTGCGAATACAACAAATACTTCACCCCCTTAAAGGAAAAATAAAAAAAGGAGAGAAACAAACAGAGCACTAATCATATTTGCAACTGTCAGAATATGTTGTATTTGTCTAGCCTGCAGTGGGGTACTCAATAGTGAGTACAGCCCAATCTAGGGTTTCCTATATGTACTCAACTGCCTGCTAGTGGAAACCCCCTTTCTCATTTCTAACTTGTAACTTACTTTGGTTTCTAACATGGAATCAGAGCAGGTCGACCCTCACGGGTCGATCCTGTGGATGGGCCCACCAATGCTTCCGCTGCTGCTGTCCTGCCTGTCGCGCGCCTCGGGCGCGCGCTGTCTTTCTACCTGCCGCGCGCCCATGGCGCGCGGCCCTTTTTTTTTCTTCCCGCCGCGTGCTAGGGGCGCGCGGCGGTTTGCTGCCCGTCGTGGCCCCTTCGTGGCCCCTTCGCGACCCCGTAGCGGCCCCGTCACGGCCTCGTCCCGGCCCTGCCCCGTCGCCCGTCGCGGCCCCGTCGCGGCCTCGCCCCCGTCCCTGCCCTGTCGCCTGTCGCGGCGCACCGGGGGCCCGCGCACCGCCCCCCCCTTCCGAGTCGCCCGTCGCGGCGCCAACGGGGGCCCGCGCGGCCCCAATTCCCGTCGCCCGTCGAGGCGACCCGGGGGGGGGCCGCGACAGACGGGGGCCACGCGTCGGCCCCTCCTGTTTTCGTCGCGGCCCTGCCCGGCCCTGCCCCCATCTTCGTCGCGGCCCTACCCTGTGTTAGGGTTTGGGGGTGGCGGGTGGGGGGTGGCGGGTGTGTGGCATCCCCTGCTCCTCCTCCTACTCCGTCTCCCACTGCTGCAGCTACTGCTGAGGGGGGTGGGTATGTGGGAGCCAAAGGAGTGGTGCTAGGGGGTGGAGTGTAAGCAGTGCTAGAGGTGCCGCAGGGGGTGTCTGAAAGAGGGGTGGGACAGTTTGGGGAGGTTGGACGGAGGTAGCCGTCGTGTCGCCAGCAGCGCCAGTAGTCCGGAGGCTACAATCTCCGGTAGCTCAGCGAGCCTGCTGCGCCAGTCGCCCGTGGGTCCGTTGCTCCTGCAGCTCAGAGTTAGTCGCGGAGCCAGTTACTCCAGTAGTCCGGAGGCTACAATCTCCGGTAGCCACAGTGCGCGCCGCTCCTGTTGCCCGTGTGTCTGCAGCTTCACCCGTCTCCTCCTACCTCCTCTCCTCTCATAGTCACTCCTCCTCCTCACTTGCCCTCTGTGATAGTTTCTAGCTTTGCTTATAATTGTGAACTATTGCTCTGCCTGTGAACTGGCCTTGTGGCCTTGTACTTGTGCTAAGAATGTGTGGTGACATTGTGATCCACCCTGAGCTTGTTTTTGCTTTGCTTGCTTGTGCTGATTACACCCCACTTTGGCTATGGGGGTGTGTCAGAATATGTTGTATTTGTCTAGCCTGCAGTGGGGTACTCAATAGTGAGTACAGCCCAATCTAGGGTTTCCTATATGTACTCAACTGCCTGCTAGTGCAAACCCCCTTTCTCATTTCTAACTTGTAACTTACTTTGGTTTCTAACAGCAACATACGCATCGATGGCATGCGGAAAAATAATCGTGAATATTTGAGACGTCTCAAAACTCAATTGTTATCATCTGTAGGATGCGTAAGAATACTCGTGAAGATTTCTAGCCTAGTGCCTGAAGGTCGCTGAGAGAGTCGAAATTACCGACTAAATCGAGGTAGTAGCAAGTTCTCCTAGGCCTAACTCAGCTTGCAAGTCCAAAAAACGTCTCATATTTCTCTCAAGCTCATGTACTGTGGTAATGGATCCCTGCTCATTGATCCCCAATCTTCGTCGTACGAGGTGTCGCATGAGGTCTCGCTAATCGGGTTGGGTTGGTAGTAGGGCATCTTCCGGGTTACCACGCTGTTTGTTAAAGACTAAGGACGGAGTCTATGAAGATTGGGGGCCGGAATATCTCAAAATCGTTGGACTATATTTCTGGACAGAATTGTCGACTTCACAAGAACGTCGTCGACAAAAAACCCACGATTACAATTTCTCCCAAACTAAGTATGTTTTAGCCCATCACCGTGGCTATCTATCGCAATTTGAATCATATCAAAAGATGGAGTATAACTCGAGTTATGAATTTTGGTGCACTAGGGGGTATGCTGCCATAGAAACTTAACTCAATCACAATTGTCTCACAAGATCCACACAAGAAAGTTATTGGGGGCCGGAATATCTCAAAATACTACAATTGATGATGTAGTAGCAAGAACCAAGTAGAAGGGGATGAGGAGGACGAGAGGGAAGGTCCCTAGGGAGTCCTCAACCAAGGAAACCCCATACCACACAATTCTCCTCTCTATAGGCACCTCAACTTTGACATTTGTCACTTTCCCAACCCATGCCATCCACCTCACCCAACTTGGCCACACTTGCCAATCTGGTTTGGCCTCTCCCAACCACTTGACATCAACTACAGTGATGGGGACGAATTTCCCAGCCCCCAAAAGTCAGTACCCCATATTAAGTCAACCCACAAATTCCCATAGTCGCCGCATCTCAATCAAAACTTCGAACGATCATATCTTTCTCGTTCTTGCTCCGATCGCGACGATCATTGGTTCGTCGGAAAGCTCTCGAGCAGGGGAGTCACTTCAGATATCTTCTTAAGCCAGATAACATTCACACGCACTCAGAAAATCCAAACCAGACCATACACAAATTCTTGCACACGCTCACACCACGCATGCAACGTACGAACATATGATGGGAGGCAGACAGACGTGAATGCAAATGATAGCATCACATAACACTGTTTATGTTACAGCCCATTGCAGATGCACCAAACCAAACCCACCAGTTTTGTGAGCAATTCTTTGGTTACCCGGTTTCAAGCGAATTACCCCTGGTTGGAAACAAGAAATATGAGACATGGGAATTATGACACGAAACGCTCACCATACGTATAGCAGCACACATCATGCCTGTTAGGAGAAGCCGCCAGTGCAACGCTTCTCGCGTTAGTAGGGAGCAGTCGCCATTGAAGCGCCCATCGTGCTAGTAAGGAGCATTCGCCATAGCAGCGCCGCGACCTAGCCGCCAGATTCACCACCTAGCCGCCAGATCCGCCACCTAGGCTCCAGATCCGCCACCTTTAATCGACGGGCGCTGCTATACGCATGGCAAAAATGAACGAGCTAGTGATAGAAGGGATGAATTTCACGTGCGTACTGGTGGCCGTGGCGGAGTATCAGATGCCCGAGAAGGACTGCCTCCTCAATCTCTTGGCTGTTATGTGATGCTATCATTTGCATTCACGTCTGTCTGCCTCCCATCATTTGTTCGTGCGTTGCATTCGTGGTGTGTGTCAGAATGTGTAGAAATTAACGAACGACAATGAATGAACTATGAAAGAGTTGGGTACAAGTACTAACCCTAATAGCCTACACAAATGTAAAGCTATAAGGTTGTACCCCTTATGGGCTACCCCACTATAGCCTACACAAATGTAAAGCTATAATGTTCTGACACACCCCCATAGGCAAAGTGGGGGAGAACAAGTGGTCACAAGACCAGTCAAGAAAGCAAAGCAAGCTCAGGGTGGATCACAAAGTCACCACACAGTCCGAGCACAAGCAAAGGGCCACAAGGCCAGTTCACATGCAGAGTTATATAAAGAGAACAAACAATACAGTGATCATACCCTAGCAAGTGCAAGCATGCAGGAACATATATAGATCACAGTACAAGCAGAGTCAAGCAGTAAGCAAGTGAGGCAAGGTAGGCACAAGGCCTAACACAGTAACAAAGCGCTGATGATCACCAGGCGGAAGTGCCTTGGTGAATATATCAGCAGTGTTGGCCCGAGTGGCCACGTACGCAAGACGAAGCTGGCCATGCTGCTGCAACTCTCGAGCAAGGAAGTATCGCAGAGCGATGTGCTTCGTTCTGTGCTCCAGTCTGTGTTCCTGACACAAGGCAATCATGGCCTTGTTGTCTACGTACAGAACTAGAGGCGAACGAGGCTGCTCTCCCAAGTCAGTCAGCAGGTAGATGAGCCAGCGTAGCTCCTAAGCAGCCATGGCCCCAGCGTAGATCTCAGCCTCACAACTGGAGCTGAGAACCGAAGACGAGCGGGTAGACCGCCAGGAGACAGAGCCAGAGCCAAGGCTGAAGGTGTAACCCTGTGACGACCGCTGCGTAGCTGAGTCGTCAACCCAGGAAGCGTCTGCGTGACCGGTGAGGACAACTGGACCCTGTCCTCCAAGCACGAGCCCCATGCCCGACGTACTGCACAAGTAATGCAGTACCCTCTTCGCAGCATCCCAGTGCACCTTTCGGTGTCTGCCGGGAGCCACGTAGTGAGCTAGGAGGCTGAGAGGGTACGCGAGGTCGGGTCGAGTGCACGTCATCAGGTACATGAGGCAACCCACAAGCTATGGGTACGGACCACTCGGCTCTACGGACTCGTCCGAAGGTGGAGCTGAGTGCGAGTGGCTGGTAGACAGAGGAGTGGGCTGTGGCGAGGAGAACTAGAAGCCGAAGCGCTAAAGGACCTGGTGCACCATGTGTGACTGAGTCAGGGTAATGGTGCGCCGAGCTCTGTCCCGGGTGATCTGCAAGCCAAGATAGCTGCGCAGTTCACCCAGGTCAGTGCAGGTGTGTCTCTTCTGCAACTCCGACTTCACAAGAGTCAGTGCCTCAGTGTCAGCAGTGGCAAAGACGAGGTCGTCAACGTAGACAAGGACGTAGAAAGGAGGCAGCGAGGTGTCGGTGCGTAGAAAGAGCGACAGGTCAGCAGTAGCAGGAGCAAACCCAAGAGTCGCAA